CACAGCGATGATATTGTCGGTGAAAGTTACTTTTTTTGCATTTTTCACACACAAACAGCACTTTTACTGATGATATAATTGTTGTGATACGTTTTCCAGTTTTTAAACACTAATATTTGTGTTCAGCGATGTCTCCCGAGTAAAACAGTACCCCCCATGTACAGGTTTTATAGCATTTTTGAAAGTTACAAGGTCAAATATATGGGTCAAATATTTTTACATTGAAATGGCCAGGTTGGTTACGTTGCCTTTGAGAGCGTATGGTAGCCCAGGAATGAGAATTACCCCCATGATGGCATACCATTTGCAAAAGAAGACAACCCAAAGTATTGCAAATGGGGTATGTCCAGTCTTTTTTAGTAGCCACTTAGTCACAAACACTGGCCAAAATTAGCGGTTTTTACTTTTTCACACACAAATATGAATGTTAACTTTGGCCAGTGTTTTCTACTAAGTGGCTAAAAAAAGACTGGACATACCCCATATTGAATAACCTGGGTTGTCTACTTTAAAAAAAAATATGTACATGTGGGGTGTTATTCAGAGATTTATGACAGATAATAGTGTTACAATGTCACTATTGATAAATTTTAAAAATGTATGTTTTGAAACCGCAATATCCTACTTGTACCTATAGCCCTATAACATGCAAAAAAAAGCAAAAAAGCACGTAAACACTAGGTATTTTTAAACTCAGGACAAAATTTTGAATCTATTTAGCAGTTTTTTTCATTCGCTTTTGTAGATGAGTAAAAGATTTTTCAAGTAAAAGTCAAAAAACATGTATTTTTTTCAATTTTTCATCAGATTTTTGTATTTTTTTTAAATTAAAATACATGAGATTATATAAATAATGGTATGTAAAGAAAGCCCCTTTTGTCCTGAAAAAAACAATATATAATTTGTATGGGAACAGTAAATGAGAAAGCGGAAAATTACAGCCAAACACAAACACCACAAAAGTGTAAAAATATTCCTGGTCGCAAATGTACAACATCGCAAAAACAGTCCAGTCCTTAAGGGGTTAAGATGAACGTCCTGAGCAGGTGCTGCATTTATTCAAAATTATTCAGGTAAAAGATACCCTGGGTGTTCTTTTATTCTTTACCATCTGCCCTTCTCAGATTTGTCAGATAGGGGTGTGTTCCCACAGTGGGAAGAGGGAGAAGAAAAAAAAAAAAAAGACACCCGTTTCAAAAACATGGGTGGGATTCAGTTCCCAATTTCCCTTCTCTTCTATTACGAAGCCGTCAATTTGCTGAGAATAGTTAATTGGCACCATACTCTACCTCTATCCCTGTCGATATGCCTGGAGTTCAGGGGAAGCACTTCCTGCCTCCACATGAGAACTAAACCCCCTCACCTGAAGATTCAACCCACCATGGGTTCCACAATGTTGGTCTGGCACAGGATCAAGGACTCGTGTAATCTTTCCTCCATGTCTAGCCTCATGTTTTCGCTTACATATAACCTGGATTTCCTTAATCAAGTGATCCCTGACTACATTTAGTTTTCTTAACAGTACATTAGACTTCGAGATGTTTGCATCAGAGTGCTCCATCTAGGCTTTATAGTCTACAGTACTCCCACATTAAGCATGATGATACTTTGGCCTCCACAAGAAGATGCTTAGAGACCCAACCACCTTTGAGGAATAGTGTCTTTTCATAGAACGCCATGCATGGGGTATCCGCTTCTTATTGGCTCTACACCTCGTCTTCCATCCAGATTTGATTCCTGCTGGGAAACCGCTATGTAGAGATCTCTCTGAACAGCAGTGCAATAAGATTTTTACATTTGCACTCTGGAGCAGTCTTGACTCTAAAATGAAGGAATTAAGTTAGAAACTCCTTGCTCAATGGTATCAGATCCATTTGTTCCTACCTAGAATTTGCAGTTAAACTCCTGAGGATTGCAGGTGTCGGATCTGCATTCCACATTTGGTGGCTGTTCCTGAAAATCTTTCCCTACTGGAAGGTGATTCACGTGGCTATCAATAAAGTTGTTATCCAGGGTCTCTCACTTCAGAGTTGATGTTGCTCCATTAATTTAGTCTCCTCAATTTTGCAAAGTCAAAAAATCACTCACAGGCCACTTACGGGGCAAGGCAAAGGCACTCATACATCTGTATTGGAGATCTGATAATTTGACCAGTCTCCAGCTGCGGAAACCTAAAGTGAAGGGAATTCACAATACAGAAAATCTCACTGCCTCTTTATATGAACTGCAAAATGCACATTTCAGACAACTGCAACTTCTTAGATTTAGTGGTGATGCCTGGTTGATACCTAGTAACATTAAGACACAGTTTTTATAGGTTAGGTTATGTAGTAAATTCCACCTATTACCTCACTTTAGCAACTTTGGTTTTTATATTTTCATACAACTGCTTCTTTTCTCTTTTTGGTGTAAAAAACTATGCAAAAAAAAAAAAAAAAATTCCCATCAAAAGCTTTCCACAAATCCCTTCAGAAGACTAGCACGCTTCCAAACTGTACTTAATTTTTCATAAATGAAGGCAATTTTTTTCAGCTACAGTTTTCTTACGGTTGATACCCTATTTACTTCTCTCCTCTGGAATCTACTGCCAACAACCACCGCCCTACTTTGGATCATCTACTAATCTACAGTTTAAAGCACACCATTATATTTGCGTTTCCCTCTCTTAATTCAGTACTTTTTTTCTTTTAAAAGTTGAAAAAAAAATATATTTTTTTGAATATGTAAATATTTGCTATGATGCTGTACATCTAAACTCCAATAAAATATGTTTAAAATCAGAAACCATTCCTCCAATCTATTTGAATGCCTTATATATTTGATCAATCTTTCTTTTAGTTGAGGCATGTGAGAGGTACAGAACAAAGAAAGAATATAGGAGTCATGGTAGAGAACAGTACAACGATATTGGCAGATACACATATACATAAGCTCCTAAGGTAGACTGGCTCTTTTTTTTGTTTTTTAAGTTGCAAAATATGCTATGAAAACATGAAGTTATCATAAGAAATACTGATTGTGTAACAAGAGGAGACAACATGCCACTAATGTATTGTAGCTGTATAAGATGCATGGTATGCACAATAAAAGTAAAAATAAATAACTACAAAGGAATCATATCACATGCAGTGAGTCGTAATATAAGCAGGTGATTAAGTTGCGGCTGCGGCGCACTGTCTCAAACAGTTGAGAAACATGCAGGTCGGGGCCCATTAAAGAAGCTCAAGTCAACCTACACCCTACGTGGGTAAGGCTTTGCCCTTCAGACGGTGGTAACCCCTTAAGAGAGTGTCCCTTTGAGACATGTGGTCCAGATGAAAGGAGGGCTGAAGTGAATTCTCCCATACTGTTGCTCTGGTACTGGCATCATGCAGTTACCAGAGTCCTGAGGAGTGGTATTTCTGGACAACCTCCTACAGAAGTTGTGTCAGCGTAGGCCCCGCATTCGCCTCCTCCGTGTCAGCCATGATTGCGCTGCTCTATGCGATCGTCGTTCACTCAGCACTTTAAGAGAAGTCGCATTCAAGCCTCACAGTGCGCCCGATGGTGAAGACCAGAGAACAGTGGGTTGAAGCTGCATGCCTCTAGAAGCCTTCATAGGGCACTTGAGTTTGGTCCAGAAATCCCAAAATATTCTGTCGAGGCTCTCCAGTATAGGAGCCATTGTGGTGCTAGATTCAGGCTTGCGCCATTTCATGGCAGAGAAGGAGGCTATCGCTTGTAGCTGTTAGAGGACACCCACCACAGCCCTGAAGATGTTGCTGGGATATCCCTCACCAGCAAGGATTGGGACAGGGGAAGACCATCAGAGTCGCAGAATTTGAAACAGTCAGCACAGGGATCGGCCGCATTCCCTGCACCAGCCGTTAGTAGGCTGCTTGAAGGCCGCAGGTCTGCCCAACTCCTAATCTGCAGAACGCTAGTGGGTCGATGCCCAAGTGTACTCCACCAGAGCTCACCCTGTTATTTCTTACGTTCAGTAAGTTTTAAATTGTGGTTTTAACGCATTTTCTGCTTAATTTGTAGCTTTTGTCACAGAGCTTTCCAAGCATGCGACCTTCTAGTATGGCGGCCAGGCTACGCCCCCGAATGCCTTAGATATTTATAAAATTACTTTTTTACTACGTTTTCAGCTGTGTGAGACAATTACATTAATTTTACGATTACATATCTTACCAGACATGGACTTGTCGTTCTGTTGTCTATTGTGCACTTTTTAACCATGGGATACTAATTTAACATTTATGAAATTTCCGAGTGAAACATTACATCACTAATTAATATAACTAATTAGCAATATATTCAACTAGATTTTGAACATTGTAGATGAGCATTTTATAGCATATAGTCAATATTTTCAACTGCTTAAAGGAACACTATAGTCACCAGAACAACTACAGCTTATTGCATTCCCCTGCAGGGAATGACTGCTGTAAACAGTCTTTTCAAATAAAATGCAGTGTTTACATTACAGCTTAGTGATAACTTCACTGGCTGCTTCCTTGGGGCAGTCCTGCCTAATGTACAGAACTGCCATTCGGTGTCTCCACCCTCTGCATGCAGACACTGAACTTTCCTAATATAGATGCATTGATTGCTGACTGGCCAGGGCTGTGTTTGACTTGTGCTGACTCTGCCCCTGATCTGCCTCCTTGACAGTCTCAGCCAGTACTATGGGGAAGCATTATGATTGGCTCAGACCACCACTTCTGATGTCAGCAGGCAGGGACAGGTCTAAAGCAGGGCCAGGAGCTGTAGACTTGAATACAAGTAAGAGGTGGCCAGGGGAGCTAGATGGTGGTTTTAACAGTATGGGGTCGGGAATACGTTTGTCTTCCTGACTCTATAGTGCTCCTTTAATTCAGGATTAGGCAAAAGCATCATACTGATCAGCTACGCCCAGCAATATGGGTTCTGGTTCAACAGCATATACACATGTCTAAGTTTGTACTAGTTTTCCACCATAATCTGATTATTGTTGCCTTTATATTCCCAGTGTAAACTGTTTAAAAACATAAATAAATAAAAAAAATAATAATTTGGTTTTGCAGCTCAAGGTTATTGCAGGGAATGAAACAAAAATTCAAACTATTAAAAAGAATGATTCATTAAACCAGATTTCTGGATATACCACTTGAAACGGTACCATGCCAACTTTATTTCACCTTTATTTTATATAGTTAACAATGCTAATTATTTACCTCTTGCTTTGACACAAAAAAGAAAAAATATAGAAGCTCTTTATCTGCCTTGTTAGAAGGAAGAAAAAGTTTATATATATATATATATATATTTATATTTATATACACAATCTATAAAGTAAGAAATCACCTCTCGGATAGAACAAAGAAGATCACAATTAAAAGGGGGAAAAAAGTGCTTTTCTTGACCAGAATATGCTACTGTATGTTTCACTTCTGCAAGGGGTTACACTAATATGCATTTATATTGGGGAGAAAGGGAAGGAGGAGAGGATATTTTGCAGTTCAATAATTAAATACACACATTAAAAAAAAATATATCAGAAGGGGAAAGTTCTGAGAAAACAAAAAATTATGAGCGTTCTATAGTGTTACGGAATATAAACCCCCTTAAGAGCCACATTTATAACCCCTTACAGATCACAATCTGGTACCTAAAGACCATATACTAGTATGGAACGAGTCTGCTTATTTTGCTTTTGCAGCTCTACACGACTGTGCATTTGTTAATGAGTGGGACATTCCATTTTGATCTTTAAAGGCTGGCTTGTTAAATCATATTTATACACTACTTGTCCTTAAGGGGTTTAAAAAAAAAAAAAAAAGACTTAATTTTCAATAGTTTCACTGTTAATGTCCTATAATCCGCAACACATTCATTACGCACCATATTTGCTTTCCAGATCTAAACTGAACAATCCAGTTGCTAGAGAAACCAGCACATTGCAAAGTGACAGTGCATGGATTCACTCCAGCTAAAGTGGCGGCTTGCTCACAGAAATATTTTTATATTTCTATTTAGAGAAAAATTCATATTGAATCACAAGCATTCCCCCACAATACTTAAAGCAAATCCGGTCACTTGCCCCCTTCTTCCTCATCCTGTTTCCAGGGTGATAACTGTATTGAGATCCAGCTGCACTGCAGTTGAGAAAGTGACATTGTGATTGTACCCCACTCACTCCTAGTTTACCTCCTTTCCCACTGACCGCAGCTGCATCCTTGGGATCAGTGATATGCAGGTTACCAATTAAGTGCACTCGAGTGAGGGAGGAAAACTAAATAAAAGGAAAATAAATATTTATACAAAAAAATTGGATTAAGTGCAGATGATTTAACTCCTCTTACCAATTCAATTCTCCAAGATTGTATAAGACTCACCAAATGGCAAATATTCATTGACAACGGTTTTGTGGTATATTATTATGAAAGGACCAGTGTACCCAGACAGGGAGTCTATCATTTTGGAGTCTAGAGAAGTGTGCAAGTCAAAGAGCTAATCCTGCAATGTTTAAACGAAAGCATCACAAAATAAACAGATTATGTGCTAGCTCACTAAAAGCAAAGTGGTTTTACTATGTCTATGCTGGTGTGTGTAAATGGTTTGCAGTTAGCCAAACTGCTGTACTGACTCACAACATAATGTGAGTTTCAACACTGAAAGTAGCTAGAAAACAAACAGGAGAGCGGGTAAGAGGTCACATGTTGCACATATGAATTCTAGTGACCAGGGCATATTTTCATTAAAGAGTGACGGGAATGGGATATTTAAAAAAAAAAAAGCACAACTTTAGAACATGCTTTCTTGTTCTTTTATCTGTGCTGTGCCTAAGCTATTGGCTGGAAAAGTAGAGAAACAGAATTCATGTTGCATTGCAAACTGGTACTGGTACTGCAAATCCAACAAAACCAGAGCTAGGAAGGAAAGTGTTGATTTTTTTGCAAATATAAATAAAACATGACTGTTGCCATCTATTTCCACTCCTGAGGGCAGAATATACACACACAAAGTCTTCAGGGGTGTCTATCATGCAGTTTAGTCATTCTAGTCTTTGAAAACTAAAAGTTTAAAAAGTCTGCAGTCCAATAAAGATGAAAGTTTGTCTTCCCTAAAGCTATTTTACATTACATAAAATGCGCATAGCAGCTACTGACAGATCCTCTCTATATACTGCTTGCCTATGCCTTTAAAGGGCACCAGGACATAAAAAAAGACATGATAATGTGGTGATGTTTGTGCCATGGTCGACCACAGCCACTTTAAGGTTGGCAACCCAGGCAGTCTTCAAAAGAACTAGTGATAAAGAGTTATCATAACTGAATGAGCATTAGCTAGCCCCCAGAAACATACACAATCTCCCTAACAGGACATCAAGATCTAGTCTGTAATGGAGGCAAATGAAAGCAAAAATTATCTAAATAAACTTAAAAAAAAAAAAAAGAACAGTTCAATCATGGATAAAAAAAAAAAAAGGTCCCTCTGATGAACTATTCTGAGAAGGAATACAAATTGTTAGTAAATTATTTTTTCTTGCCTAGAATGATAAGTACAGACTTCAGTATCTCTACTCTCCCAAGCTGCCAATATAGCATGAGGATAAAAATGTTTGTAAAGAGAAAAAAAAACATGACAGTGTAGTCCAAATAAAAAGGTTGGTTTTTGAGAATTATCTTCCGCAAGCAGTTCCTCCAACTCATCCAGTGAGCAACAAGGCTGGCCTCTTTTCCCCACCTCTGGAAGAATGATTGCCTAGTTAGAAGAAGCCGTAATGGGGTTTTCCAGTTCCAGGCTGGGGTGCAAGTTGCTGTAACACAACTTACAAACTCTGCTGGGCTCAAATAGTTGCTGGCTAGGAACTGGCATTTTCTGATTACAGCAGCTGGAGCAGAAAACATTCCCACAATTCCTTTCAGAGAGAGAGAGAGAGAGAACAACATATTTAAACTGTGTAACACAAAGGGTTAGCAAGTCCTCAAGCACTGTAGCTGCATATCACTGATGGAAGATGCCTTGGCACAACCCAAAAAAACAACATACTTTATTTTTCACCAACCACATTATATTTCCTGTGCTGGTAGGATACAATAATGATAGAGTCTTTAAAACCGCAACAAATTGCCAATATTTAAACCCATGTTTAACATAAGTAGGAATTGATTTGTAAATAAAATGCTGCCATTTTTGGTCTCATGGGTTGGTGGACAAGCAATATGAATTTTGCTGCAGTGCACAGAAATGCACAATAAATACATAAGCTTGGTAATTCCGCATAAAAAGCATGTTTGTTTTTTGTGGTATGAACCGCTGTTTGAATAAAGCCTTTTATACAGTGCAATGACAGAATTCTGTAGGTATTAGAAGAGACACAAGGAAACAAGGCTTGACAAATCTATTGAAAAAGCATGCAACTGCAGTAAGTGTGCGTGCTCAGGAGAAGGATATAGCACATGCACAACAATAATAATGTGATGGTGATAAAACACTACCAAAAGAACTGGTTTGTCCCAAACTGGTTACAATATATAAATATACACACTATTCTATAAACACATTCATAATAAAGAGACATTTCAATCATCATAAACACTGCTTATAATGCAAGTGGTATATTGCTGGGAAGCAATGAGTGCAGTCATTTGGCTTTTTTACAAACTGTACTCAAGAAACGTGACAAAATAAATTCCCAAGCATCATAGACTACCCACTCAGCTGCAGAGATTTTATGGCCTCAGTTGTCCAAATATTTGTACTACACAAACATGCACTACCTACAACGAAATGGTGTGAACATGGAGGTAAAGGAGGAGTTGGCTGTCTAATCTATGTTGCTGCTTCGGACAGCTGTCCAAAAAGACCCTGTACATAGGAAGATGTCTGATATTTTACTGTGACTTATCAGGTCTGAAACCAGAGCTATAGAGATATAAAAGTTGCTATGTGTAAGTGCTTTAGTGTCTAAATATATACAATCAATTATTGCACTGTATCATAAAGCAATCTCAAAAAGGGAGAATGACTGCTTTCAGAAAATCCACAAATTATAGGCATTTGGTTAGCCATTCACAGTTTCTTAGACAGAAGATAGATCAACACAATGCCTACACAAAACATACAGTGGTAGGTTTATTATTTATTCAGAGTTGGTGGATAATCTATAATATTTGTTTCCTATATATTGTAGATCCTAATGTAGGACACCATTTACATATTCTGACATAAACCATGGTATCGGAAACTTTTCTTTAGGGTTTGTCAAAACACCATGTTCACTCCCATGTTTTGAAGTAGTGATAGTGCTTGGAGTCTGTAGATCCAAAGTTTCAATAAGAAACACTGCTCATGCTCAAATATTTTAATGTTGGTGTAAGAAGTGTAATTCCACCTCCAGCAGCGTCATTAGTACATCATTAGCCGGCCGAGAACAAAAAATTAGCTGATGCGCTCAGGAAATGAATGAACATCAGGATTGGCTCTGCAGAAGCCTGATGCTGGTTAGCAGCCATGTCTGAAGGCTCGATGCCAGGTGGAACCAGGTAAGTGGCAAACTGTTGCTAAATGGTATGCCCCCTGCCGCTAGGCACCAAGCGCAAAAAGCTGCCAAAGCCACACCAAAAAAAAAATAAAAGCCAAACTTTTTTTGGTTTCGATACTGCCCCAATTTTATTTCACTTTCTTTTGACCTTCTAATTGACCCTCTAACTGCTTCCCCCATATATATAGATCTCAACTTCCTCCAGCCCACAGTACATATACAGAAGATATTCCTATTGCATTCTCTGTACAGTTCCTAGAAATCTATCCCCATCATTGCCATTAGCACAAATACACCATTCTACAAACATACAATTTAGCTAAAGACTGTGAATGGGGAAAAAGAAAAAGCCCCAAATAGTTCCAGAGCCTAATACTAACCAATACATCAACAGGGCATTACTATGAAGTAGAGTGGTTTGGTAGGATGTTTTACTTATGACTATAACAACATCATGTTAGGCGACTATTACTTTAAAGGAACAATATTGCATTAGGAATACAAATCTGTATTCCTAACGCTATAGTGTCCCTGTCCCCACTCTTTTTCAGTCCCACTGCTGAGTGCAATAAAAATGTAAAAGAATATACTCACCTTTTTACAGTGCACAGACTTCCTCTGCGCTGCTCACCTCTACACATCTAGTGATGTCACAGTGGCATGAGGCTCTCTAACTCAATCCGTAGTATTAATGGGGAGCTACTGATTGGCTTAGAGTTTAAAGACAATCAGTATTGCCCCTGCGCTTCCTGAAACTGAGATTCAGAAGTCGGTTGTTGCTTGGGAATCTTAGGATTGGCATTGGAGGTACACTTTAGGGTTAAACAGTTAGAGAACCCCTTAAGCCAAGGGTTGGCCCAGAGGCATCCTGGCACAATAACAACTTAAATTAGATAAAGTGGCTATGGTGTCTGGAGTGTCCCTTTTGAAAGGACACTCAAGACCCCTAAAGCACTTTAACTTGCTGAAAAGCTTAATGTGTGAAGAGTGTGTCCTCTTTTTTCATTTTGCAAGAAATTGACACTTTTATAAATTAACCTGCTAACACTCATTTGGCTTTCAAGCAGACAAACAATCCTGTCACTTCTTGGTTTGGTTAGCTCAATGGAGCTAAACTCAAGAGGCAGCAATTGCTCAAAGGACCTGCCTTCAAATAATTTTCATTGAGCTGCATTGGGAAGTCTGTGATTGGACAGTCACAGGTAGTCTTGGAGGGTTAGAAGGGGAGGGTTTGCAAGTTGTTTTTAGATATATCCCAAATGGAAAAATGCAAAGTTAAATGTATGAAAAGGTTTTAATTTGGGGTATAACTACTAAACAGTGATTTTTATGCATTTTGTCTTTGAGCAGTGGAGTGTTCCTTTACGGCCAAAATAGCGGAACTGAAAAAAATCTCTAAGTCAACTTTGCTTTCAGTTCACCTACTCTGCCTGTATATTTGAAACTCACTTTACTAAATACCGTATATACTCGAGTATAAGTCGACCCGAGACCCCTAATTTTACCCAAAAAACTGGGAAAACTTATTGACTCGAGTATAAGACTAGGGTGGGAAATGCAGCAGCTACTGGTAAATTTCTAAATAAAACTGGATCCCCCAAAAATTATATTAATTGAATATTTATTTACAGTGTGTGTGTGTGTGTGTGTATGAGTGCAGTGTGTGTGTGTATGTGATGCAGAGCCTTGGTGGGGGGGTGGGCATTTTTATATTATTATTTTAATATTTTTTTTATATTATTAAAATTTTTATGTTATTTATTTTCGTCCCCACTCCCTGCTTGATACATGGCCAGGGAGGGGGGCTCTCACTCCCTGGTGGTCCAGTGGATGGGCTGTGTAGGAGGGGGGTTGGTAGAGAGCTGTAACTTACCTTCCCTGCAGCTCCTGTCAGCTCCCTTCTCTCTCCTCCGGTCCGGTCAGCTCCCCTGTAAGTCTCGCGGTCTGACTGCCACGCGGAGCGTTGCGAGACTTGCAGAGGAGCTGACCGGACCGGAGGAGAGAGAAGGGAGCTGACAGGAAAGGTAAGTAAATGCTTCCTGCCAGCCCCCAACAGGACCGCCGGGCTTGTAATGAGCCCGGCGGTCCTTGTCTGCATTATGGCAATGTAAGTTAATACAGACAGTGACTCGAGTATAAGAAGAGTGAAAAATGTGCCGAAAAACTCGTCTTATACTAGAGTATATACGGTACTAACTATGTTAGTATTTTATAAGGAACACTAACAATCACATAAACACCGCTAAGGAGGGTGAATGATTGAAAGGGGAACGACGGTCTGACTTAAAATTTTAAGGTGTTACAATTTACAATTTTTAAGCCATTTTAGCAAAGATGGAATAGTCAAGCTAGATAATTTTTCAAATGTAAATATTACAGCATAGAACTTTCCAGTTTTGACACACTTCCTGGTTTTGATTTTTAATTAAATTAAACAAAAACCTCAATACTTGACACTTTGTAGGAAGTGTCAGTCATTGCTGTTAAACAACAGTTCAAATGTCTAGGACACAAGTAATAATGCAAACTTTAGCTAGGTGACAGGATACATTGAAATAAATGGAGTGGTGTACCATTGTCTTTTTCATGGGCTTTGTTTGCTTGGATGTCCAAATTAAAGTTTAAAAAAATATTACCAACAAATGAATTGGCACTTAAAGTTACAATTAGTAGGGCATCATCAGATACCATTTAAATAATCTGGACTTTATTTGTCCAAAATAACATCTAAAAGGGTATGAAAAATATATAAATAAAAATTATTGACATAAGCACACACATACACGCAGCATGTAAGCTGTTCATTTCATTCAGCATATACAACTCTATTATAGCAAGACTGTCTGGGACTCTCTAAATAAAGGCATCTCTTTGCTCCTTCAAACCTTCCCAGTGACATGATGTGTATGTGCTGAAGAAATCAGGGTGGGAAGGTAGGAACACTGTTAGTTTGGTGATTGTAAATGGACAAACTGACTGACCGACCTCAACAGAAGCTCACCACGTTTCAGCCACAGCTTCTGTATTCCTGTAAGGAGTGAAACACGGCTGAGTGTAGGAAGGATTCCAATAGAGTCTCTGCGTTTATCAGTATTTTGGAACATGGCAGCTGGGCTTAGTGGGACTCTCTGCTTCTTACCTACAGTGATGTTTCCTGCTTGCTAACCAGAACTTGCTCTCACAGTTATAGCAGTTCACAGCTAGATGATCTGGTAGCCACCTTGTCACCTAAAAATACAAAAAGATAAGATAAAATGTTTCCATCTAGTTCAAATTGAAGTTGAAAGCGAAAGCTGACTTTATGCTTGAAGAGATCACAATAGCAGAATGTGAACAGTAATCACATTAGTAAAGGTGAAAAGAGACGACTATTAGCAGTTCTTGGGGTACTCTCAAATGTTTACCATAAAATGCAGAGGTCTAAATTGCATGTGGCAAGACCATTACATACACAGTAATATTTCTACCATCACAACAAGAAAACAAAGAATTCAGTGAGGGAATTTTAGAAAGCCAAACCAGACTGGTGATGTACTAAATCACAGAGGATGGAATATATGCATGCATTTGTTTTAAAAGGAAATAGAAATAGCAAATAATTTCATTCAAAGTATGCGTTTGCAAAAAGGGCAGACAGTGTTTTAAGTGTTTTATTAACAAACATAAAATCAATCACCCTTTCCCTGACATCAGTCGAAAATTATCAAAGTGCAGATTAACCATTACAAAAAATGCTCAGTTTTTGTGTTTCTTACGAAATTGCAAGGCAAATGTTTTTTCACGAATCAAATTCCATAAAAAAATAAAATAAAATAAAAATTGTTGGGCAACTTCATTTAAAGGGTATATAGCCAGTTTGTCTATTACTTGCATGATGGGAGTTTTACGCTATACAGCTGGAGGGCTACCTGTTGGCTACTCTGGGTTACTCATGTTATAAAAACACCCAGTGCGATTATTTGCAGGCAAGAAAAACTGGAATATATACTCATGTTAATTACAGGAATGCAATCTGCTGTATGCCAATTACCAGATGAAACTAAAGTAATAATCGGTATAAAGTAATAATCGGTATAAAGTATGTAACAATCTTTTATGGGCTCCCCCACCCTCTAAACTCATTTTGTTCTGGTTTTATATTTTGTACTTCGGAGGATACTAGGGATCGACCGATTATCAGTCTGGCCAATATTATCGGCCGATTTGGTATTTTCGGCAATATCGGTACCGGCCTATAGAGATGCCAATAATACATACCAGGACCACCGGGCCCATGACAAGCCCGGCGGTACTGGGGGAGGGAGGGCCGCAGCAAGCTCTTACTTCCCTTCAGCTCCTCTGTCTAAATCTCACGAGTCCCGCGTCCGTCAGAGCGTTTTATCGAGATTTAGACAGGGGAGCTGCTGGGAAGGTAAGTAAGAGCTTGCTGTGGGCCCGCAGGGAATGCCATATTCTCCCTCCTTGACCAAGTAAGAAGCAGGGGGGGTGGGGGGACTAAAAAGGTTTTTTTCATATATATATATATAAAAATAAATTCAAATTAAAAAATAAATAAAAATGCCCCCCCCTTTAATTTTACACAAATTACATACCTACAGAAACACACACTCTGCATTCATTATACAGACTACACACACTGCACACTCTGCATTCATTATATATACACTACACACACACAAACAATGCATTCATTACATACACACACAAACAATGCATTCATTACATACACACACAAACAATGCATTCATTATATACATACACACACAAACAATGCATTCATTATATACATACACACACAAACAATGCATTCATTATATACACACACTACACAAACACACTGAATTCACTATGCACACACTACACAAACACACTGAATTCACTATGCACACACTACACAAACACACTGAATTCACTATAAACACTACACAAACACACTGAATTCACTATACACACTACACAAACACACTGAATTCACTATACACACTACACAAACACTCTGCATTCACTATACGCACAAAAGACACACTCTGAGTTCAATATATATATATATATATATATATATATACACACACACACACTATACAAACTCACTGCATTCACTATACACACAAAAGACACACTGAGTTCAATATATATATATATATATATATATATATATATATATATATATATATATATATACATATATATACACACACACACACACACACACACTATACAAACTCACTGCATTCACTATACACACACTGCATTCACTATACACACACTTTGCGTTCAGTATAATATATATACACACACACACTACACAAACTCACTGCATCCACTACACACACACACTACACAAACACACTCTGCATTCATTATATACACACACTACACAAATATACGCTGCATCCACTACACACACAGCTCCACTGTCTGAACACACTGCATCCACTACATGTGGCATGTATATTTTGTGCATTTACCTTTAGAAATAGTTTATTTTTTCAAAATGGTAAATGTACAGAATATCGGTAAGTTATCGGCTATCGGCCTGAAAGTTCCCATATTATCGGTCTCTGCTCAAAAAAAAAAAAAAATCAATATCGGTCGATCCCTAGAGGATACAATAGAACTATAACGCAAATAAAGAAATGCAAGAATATTCAAAATGGGGGAAAAAAAAAAAAACCCACAAATGGAATAGCCTCAAAGAATGCTAGAGGGCTATACTGATTGGGACACGCTTACAGTTAGCCAGGTCACAAAAGCAAAATCAAGCACAGACAAGGTCTTAAGAGTTCAAGTAAGTAAGGAAAGGGATAAGTGGTCCTTATCTGTCATCAAATCCAGTAAGCTCCGTTTCCATGCAGAACACTGCCACAGAAAAAGAGAAGGTATGATGATGGTGGAGAGCAGAGTGGAGAGCAGAGTGTAGCTGTACCTCTGTGTCCCGCTTGTCCACCTGCTCCCAGCTGGCTTCAGAGAATGGTTCTGTGCTGCAGCCTGACAAACAGCTGGGATCCCGGTTGCTTTCAGAATCAGGGATTGAGGTCTGTAGGGTGCAAGATCATACAGGAAGTGGGTAGAAATGCTCAAAACTGCATCATGTCTAAAGTTTCTGATCCTTGGATGCCATCATCATCTGCAGTACAGACTCCGTTGCAAGTAACTCTAATTAGGAATTACTGATTTCTACAACTCAAAAAGACCCATTATAAAAGTTATCAACAGTGATTTCATATATGCCTAAAAGTGATTAACCAACAAACCCAAACACTTAATTACGCAAAAGTACTCACCACCTCATCTGTAAATTCCCCATTGAAATTTTGTGGGATATTATGTAAATGGCTTTCAAGACGGCAGCGAAGCTCTTGCACCTGTTTCTTCAAGGTTTCCACCTCCTGCTGGTGACCACTCTCCATCTGTCTGAGCCTTTGTTGGATTGCATCTACATAGAGTGGCATTCCATCATCATCTAGATGGTTTCGTGCGGGTTGCTCAGGGGTATTTCCCACACGAGCTCTTCCACCACCATGCAATGGGCACTTGTGTGGGATGTTTCTTAGCTGGGTCTGGGAGTGGGATGTGCAAGAATTTTGCCGAGAAAGTGTCTGCATTCCTCTTCGGTTGTCTCCATTGAGACATGGCTCATCAGGAATGGGAGGAGAAGATTGGTCAATGTTACACGGAGTGTCTGCTATGCATTCAGATTTTGGGAAGGCACTATGACTGAGGGGTGAAGGGGAACACGTCCTTTCACTATGGCTCTGCAGTCCCACCATAATAAGGCCATCCTGAATTACCTCACCAGGACTCTGAGACAGTTGATTTGCTGCACTCACATGATCCATCCTGCAAGTCCAGGAAGTCGGAGAGTCATCTGTCAGGGTGTCTGTGGATTCATCCAGCACTGGATGTGATGAAAGTGTTGGGGAAGGGTTGTTGAAAATGCCCTGCATTTCACTTTCCAATTTTGCCACTAGTTCTCCTTCTCCCACTTCTGGTTCAGAGGCATTAGATGTAAACTCTTTGGGAACATCATGTTCTACTTCCTCTTCAGAAGTTACTGGAGTAGAATAATCTACTACATCTGCATTATACTTCTCACAATCTTCCTTGTTTGAAAGGTCAGCAACAGCACACAATCTCTCTGGATTTGCAATTGTTGTTCCCACAAACCTCTCACACTCTCCTTCAGAGCTCTCAATTTCAGAAGAATCTGTAATAGTCCCTTCCTCCTTTTGTCCAGTTTGCTCTGACTCCTCATGATTATCTGCTTCCTCTGTGATCCCCGTCCTCCCTACCCCAATTCCTGGTTTACCTGTGTGTTCTTCATTCCCCACTTCCTCTTTGCTAGCCTCCTGCAAGATGTTCTCCATCTGTCCCTCCCCAACACCAGCAGCCATTGAAAGCTGTGCCCCCAGTGACAGCCTTTCTCCCTCTTGAAGATCATCCCCAGGGTTCCCCAGGCTATTTAATTCCAAAGAACGTCGATGCTCCTGCCACTTTTCATTGAGGCTTGGATCACTGCTGCGTCTGTTCGTGCAAGGTACAGTCATGTCACAGGTTGTTGGTATGTCATCATATGAACGGGTCTTGGGTAACCTGGATGGAAACAAAACAAATTAGTAAGTACAAATATTATTATTTATATAGTGCAAACAAATTCTGCAGCGCGTTACAGTGGGTGGACGAACAAACGTAGTTGTAACCAGATAGGTTGGACACACAGGAAACAGAGGGTTTGAGGGCCCTGCTCAATGAGCTTACATGCTAGAGGGAGTGGGGTAAAGGGACACAAAAGGTAAGGATAGTATTAGACTAATGACAGTTGCAAGAGAGGAATACTTAATTCAGATCTGTTTAGCCTTCAACGCTACAAGTTATTTTTGCATAAACATGGTATGCATTAAAATGAAAATAGGTTATCAAACATTTCATGTCAATAAAGCAACATAGCATTTTCCCCCTAATGTGATGTAAGAAATTTACAATTTGAAATGAAGTGTAACATTGTGAATGCAGAACCAATATCAGAATTAACAGTTAGTTGTTAAAAGCAATGCAAACTCAACAGAAAGGTGATTTAAGAAATCAACTCTTATAGTAAATCCAGCAATTTATTTGTTGGAGATCCTTTAATTATAGAAACAAAAATACTAAAGATCAGAGTGGAGAAGCTTGACGTTTTTGGAAAGTTCTGTTTATTGTTAAAAAGACAGATTTGACACAAATCACATCAACAGTGCCTAAATTCTATTTACTCTAAGCACTGTAATAAGTTGTAGTGGCTAAAGTGCCCCTTCAAGTGTAAGAAATGTGTTCGGCTCACAGGAGCCGAGAGTTAATTGGAACCTGGTATAATGACAGTTGATCTCAGCTAATAGCATTCTACCAAAAATTTAAAAGGGTTACAAATGGCATGGTGGTTATTGTTCCAGGAGTGCCCTAGAATGTCCACAATCAAAACAAAACAGTGAAACAGTTTGACTTCTTATCTGGGATCTGCCATGTGCCACCCCCACCGAGCCTTGAGGAGGGCTGGAAGCTCCTGCTCATGAGCTTCCATTTGCTATCCAAAGCGGAGTTAAGCAGCTCGTTGGGTGTAAGAAGCACCTGATCGCTCTCAGCCAATGAGCTAAATCCTGCACTACCAAGCATAACTCTGCAGAAAACTTCCAGTTGAGTAGCATCACATAGCGGCACCTGGTGGACCCTAGGTAAGAAGACAAACTGTTACTAATCAGCACCTTACTAGATCTTTAGGGAGGGGGAGCCAGGCACACTGGAGTGCTGAAGTAATTACAGAAGGAAGTGGTGTTCTTCAGCAAATGAAAAGCCAGTGAGCAGGCACAGATTAATCAGCTAATCCAAGCAGGTTACGCTTATTATATTTTGTCCTGTGCTGGTGGACTGTGCAGACATATTACCCTCATAGCTGTCCCTAAACTTTCTTCTGTGAGCACAGTACCTCAGGCCTACCAGACCTAAATTTCAAATTCCTCAGTTACAACGTGCAAAAATCAGAGCTTACTAAAAAGTTTTTCCTCTTATTTACTGTATGTTTGATGATAGCCTTGAAGTTGGTTTTAAGCGCGTGAGGGAGGTGGATCTCATATGATATAAAACCTGCCAACCTGCAAAGAGGCTGCTCCTCTGCTGATGATCCACAAGCAGGATAGGGGGTGCAAGACTCTTCACTAGGTGTGGATGGGGATGATCCAGGGAGGTAGACTGCACTCCACAGCATCAAATTCCGCACATGGCATACAGGATGCAGTACCTAAGAAAGCATGGAATCAAAGAGGGGCAATGATAGGTTACAGGAAGCAAACTTCAGCAATTTGCGTTCCATATAATTAGATGGGATGGAGAGATTTAAGAGAGAGCATCTGGATGTTTTAGAGAACTGCAATAAGAATCAGAATAAATAAATTTCAGAGTGCAGTTTGCATGTTCAAAGGTGTACAAAGGAGTGTACATGTAAAATGAAAAATCTAAACACCATGCCAAAGGCCAGTAGAATAACAGGTAACAAACTTACTGTTTCTGACTGAGAGGAATACAACAAATTTTTGAAGGCCCGATTCCCGGCACGCAGTAGTGACCAAACTGAGCATGTGCGTTCTTGGATGTGCTTTTCACTTCGCTCCTTAGCATTGTTACAGAGGAAGGTGCCAAATAGACAGGAGTATGTATGCTGCACCAGCTTCACCTGCAGGAAAAAACAAAAGCTGTCACTAGCACTCCCCTCAGCATGAATGTTATGCAAGTGAACATCAATTGACCTTGCACATGCTGTACACCTGTGGGAGAGCAAAGCGTTGACGCCAGCAGGTATGTAAAACTTTTTTCCCCTGCACCAATCGTTTATATCACCATCAATGATCTTTGCAAATAATGCAAAGACCCTAGAAGGTGACAAAGACATTTTAATGACACATTAGATTGGCAGAGTGCTGAACATCATTGATTAAAACCGTTTCATGGCTCTACAGTCCTTCAAGGTAACCAGGTGCATTATTCCACATTTACAATCACAATATGGCATGCTATTCCTTTTCAAGGTTTATCAATAAATGTCTCTTCCAGAAGGTTTCTCTCATATGTGACAAATCCTATGCTTAAGATATTTTAAGATAACTTACATAATGGAAAACTAGAAGCACTAAAACTAAGGGATTATAGCTATGGTATGATTTATTACTGAGCTCTCCAATGAAGTACTGGTACAAAATACAATGGGAAAACCTCAGAATTAGAACTACCGCTGGCATTGCAGCGCAGAAGCATAAATGCCTTGAAAAGAGATTTTCCACATGCACTAAATACCTAGAGGCACAATGTACAGGTTTAATGGGTTTTTGCAAACTTACAGGGATCAAATGTAGGGTTATCCCCTTTTCCATATTTGCACATTGAAATTTGCCAGATTGGGTTGCTGGGCCTATGTTGCCTTTGAGACCGTATAGCAGCCCAGGAATGAAAATTTACCCCATCGTGGCATAACATTTGTAAAAGTAGACAACCCACGGTATTCAAAATGGGGTATGTCCAGTCTTATTTAGTAGCCACAAACGCTGGCCAAAGCTAGCGTTTTTATTTGGTTTTTGCATTTTTATTTTTTTACACAAAAACTGCACTTTTACTGGTGATTCACCGTCATGATAAGATTTTAAAATTTGAAAATACAATGGCCGCAGGCGGCGAGGGAGCAGTGATCTCCCTGCTCAGCTCACTCGCGCGCACAGCAGTGATGCCATAGCCGTAATATGACGTTGCTCCGGCATCACTAAGAGGCGCACAAGGGAGCTGAGCAGGGAGATCAGAGCTCCCTTGCCGCCCGCCTCCTCCGCTCACCTGTCTTCCAGACCTCCCGACAGCCTGCCGGCCAAGCTGCAGCCAGCCCCACTGGACCCCAGAGACTCCATGCCAGCACTCCCAAAGGTAGGAGGGCTGGGTGAAGTAAAATGTAAAAAATAAATAAAAAAAAATAAAAAAAATTGTATGTGTGTCTGTTAGGGGGTTTGTATGTGTTTGTGAGTGTCAGTGAGAGTGAATGTGTGCTTGTCAGGGAGTGTGTGAGTGTATGTGTTTGTCAGTGAGAATGTATCTGTTCTTGTCAATGAGTGTATATGTGTTTGTATGTGTGTCTGTCAAAGAGTGTGTGTGTGCCAGTATGTATCAGTGTGTTTGTGTGTGTGTATCTGAGTGTGTCAGTGTGTATGTCACTGTGTGTGTATTTGTGAGTCAAGATGTGTGTGTCAGTGTGTATCTGTGTGTATAAGTGTGTGTCAGTGTATATCAGTGTGTCAGATACATACACACACAGAGAGATATACACACACCGGCGTATCCAAACACAGATATACACACCTTGACACACACACACACACACACACAGATACACATCTGTGTGCCAGTGTGTGTGATTATCTGTGTGTCAGATATACGACTGGCACATACAAGCACAGATATACACACCATGACACACCAGCACATTTAAAAAAATAAATAGCCATTTTTTTCGGGAAAAATTAATTGGGAACCCCTGCTCCAGAGAATAACAATAGAAAAGTTACAGGGTCAATATAGGGCTTGCCCGATTCAGTTTGCTGGGTCTGTGTTGCTTTTTGAGACCATATGGTAGCCCACAAATGTCAAATAACCCCATCATGGCATACCATTTTCAAACGTAGACAACCCATGGTATTCAAAATGGGGTATGTCCAGTCTTTTGTAGTAGCCACTTAGTCATAAACACTGGCCGAAGTTAGCATTTTTATTCGTTTTATATAAAAAAAAAATTAAAAAATTCTATATATGCACACACATAACACACGCACCCACACACAGAAAAAATAGATTCGCACTCCAACTTACTGGTGTCGTTGCCCGGTGAACGTTTCCGTTTGCAACCCAAACTTTCATCAGGATAACATTACATTTAAAAAAAAAAAAAAAATCTTATATAGCCATCACCACATTACACTTACCCAATAACATAGAGGGTGCTCCCTGCGACCGCTATTCCCGGAGTCTGACCGGGTTACTCTATGACCTCGATGACGTCACCGTGGACTGCGTCGTGACATCACCCAGGTCATCCACATGGCAACCAGACGCCAAGACCATGCGGGTAGAAACCTCGCACAAAATAACTATGGCAGCAGAAAAAGAAACTAACCGGACAAACTTGCCGGTATTATGCTGCAGAGCAACACCTCGAATAAAAGCATTGAAAATAAAATCATAACGGAGGCTGGAGGCTCCGTGGGCATAATTTAAATTAAAGAAATAGAAAAACCGAGACTAAATACTACGATCTAAATGCTCAATTACTGACTATAGATGTCCCAACACTGGTTTTCCCTGGTGCTCCTTCACATTAGTGCATGTGTCAGTTCTAAATGAACTAAAGGGGAAAACTCGGACCAGAATAGAACCTTATTTACAAAGAACTACAAACAAGACCATTACTATAATACCCTAAAATGTAATTCTAGAGGGATTAAGATCCCATAGTATGAAAACAAATACTCAAGGTATCAAATGTGATACCGTCTGGAGTCCTGCGCCAGTTGTAAGCTCTATAAATGTAAAATTGGAGAAACAAATTTAAAATCCAGATTCAGACCATTCATAAACTGGATAAATTAATATGGTTGGTATACCACCATGCAACAGTATGCAATGTGTATTATCACTGCAATTCTTACTCACCAACACCGCTCTTAACCCCCAAACTATATTTTCATGGCTACATTGCCACCTGCAAAAGCAGTGAAATGGACAGTACGAAAAATAATTAAAGGTGTAAAGCTGTATATCTTCCTGTATGGGATTATTACAGGGCAGTACATGAGGAGATTAATTGCTGAAGTGACAATTAAATCAAAGCTTTTGGCATCATAAATCGCAATAATCTAAAGTACATATGGTGCATATATATTGTACATTCATAATTCTCAAAATATAGGTCCGAAATACATTTCCCCTGGGGTGGCACCATAGGCTATTATTGTGACCTTTTCTTAAACCTAAATATGCCAGCTGATGTCAAACTCTGTGTGGGGTAATCAGTCAATCAAAACCATAAATTAAATCTTAGAAGAGTGACTCATGGCTTTAGGGTGATAACAGAACCCAATTTACAAAGATAGTCCTTTATGTCCCAGGCTGAGGTAGATCTCCCAGAGAATTAACAGAACAATGAAAAGAAGACTTAGCCCTATAAGGGGGGCCAATAGAGTTAAACCAACAGCGCATATTGGTAACTTTGGACATCACACTTAACTTAGAGGCACAGATTCAGATAAAGACAGAACCTGTAAAAGCGGAGATGCCGATCCCCCTGCATGGGCAGTCTCAAAAGGTGACCAGGGTTTCATCAAGAATCATGATTGTTAAGCCATAGATAAATGGATACCAAATCCAACCTATACACTGAATCAATAGCAAGAACTGTCCTACCCAACAGTTCCACCAACTCTCGCCTAATCCCTTGCTAATGAGTTGGAACCAACATAACAACTAACGTTAAGGCTATGCAATCAGAGAAATACTGATAATGAGTATTTCTCATTAAGCCCATGAGGTTGAACTGTATTTAGAGTCCAAATCCAAAAAAGTTCACGTTGGAGCAATAGTTTACTACGATCTACTCCCCTCCGAAGTGGGGTTATGTGATCTATAGCCATCAACTTTAAAGAGGGTAAAGTGTGGCCCAAATCCAGAAAGTGTTTAGCCACTGGTTGTTCGGTCTTATCTCTGTAGGCTGTCCGGATGCTGGACCTGTGGTTCCTTATCCTCTCACGCAAGGGAAGGTCAGTCTTGCCTATATAGGACAACCCACATGGGCACGTTAATTTGTAGACAACAAAATTTGAGGTGCATGTCAATCGGTGTTTGATCGTATAGGGCTTCCCTGTATGTAGGTGTGCAAAGACCTTTCCAGGTACCATGTGGCCACAAGTCATGCAGCCCAAACATCTGTAACAGAAGTATACATACAATATAAGGTGGAGTATCTTTTCATGAATTAAGATTGTTCTTCAGTTGTTCTTCCGAAGATTAAAACATAGGTAGAAAAAAATAGTGCAATATAGCCAATTTTCAATAATTAAGCAATGCTAAATAAGAAAAGCACTCACATACAGAGAGCCAATGTGATGGCTCAGGCGTTCAGCTTTGTGGGTGCTAGAGGGACCCACTCCCTTCTTTGAACTGGCAGGGGTTTCCAAACAATAGGATATCCTCACAGTTTGCAGTAGGAACAAAGTGCTTTATTGTAAAGTGCACAAAATATACATTAATTAAAATAGATTAAAAAAAAAAAAAAAAAACTTACAATTTTGAAGGCAAGTACTTTTGTAAAGACTTCATAAGACTTTACAAAATGACTTACCTTCAAAATTGTAAGTTTTTTAAATCTATTTTAATTAATGTATATTTTGTTCTTCACGTTGTCTGCTAATTTCAGAACAGTGGTAGCGGCCTCAGCTAAGGAGAGAATCACAGCTTGTCTAGTCTCCAATTCCTTGATTTTCTGTCGTACTTGGATGAGGTCCTCCTTCACATCCTCTATAATGATCAGCATGAGGTCGAGAGAGCACTTGTTAAGAACTTAGTATTTAGTCTTGGTTTTTCTATTTCTTTAATTTGAATTATGCCCACGGAGCCTCCAGTCTCCGTTGTGATTTTATTTTCAATGCTTTCATGTGAGGTGTTGCTCTGCACCAGAATACCGATCTTACTAGCCAGCAAAGTGAGATTAGACTATGTTCTGGTTAGTTAGTTTCTTTTTCTGTTGCCATAGTTCTTTTGTGCGAGGTTTCTACCCGCATGGTCTTGGCGTCTGGTGTCCATGGGGATGACCTGGGTGACGTCACGACGCAGTCCACCCGGTCAGACTCTGGGAATGGCGGTCGCAGGGAGCACCCTCTATGTTATTGGGTAAGTGTAATGTGGTGATGGGTATATAACATGTTTTTTTTTTTTTTTAAATGTAATGTTATCCTGATGAAAGTTTGGATTGCAAACTAAAAAGGCAAACTTTTACTATGGACATTAAAAGTTAAGTTTTACTTTACATTTTTGGAGTCCTGAGAGTGCTATCTTTAAGATAGATAGATAGATCTTCATCTATCAGATCTTGGACTATACCACGCATTCAAGCCGAACTTAAAAGAAGAAGCATTCCATTCCCGGGTACTGCCAGGAAAACAGAATTATTTAGATTAATGCAGATACACATCGACAACTCTGGTGCAGAGGATGGGTCTAGCGGGAACATCAACATGCCTGACTTACAAACCAATTTTGATTATCTTGCTTAATTGTGGTAATCGTATGCATTAAAAGAGCCGCTTGATGATATAAAACATTTTTGGAAAACCTATTCCCCCCTTGTTTATGCTTTAAATATAAAAGATCTATTCCTATTCTAAGTTTCTTATTGAGCCAAGTAGAATTTCTAAAAAAGTTATTTATAAGAGTCAGCCAGTAAGGCTGTATAGGCATCGGAATCATTCTTAGTAAATAGATTATATTAGGGAAAATATAAGCTTTTATAGAGTTAAAGGGGCACTATAGGGTAAGGAACACAAACATGTATTCCTAACCTTATATGGTTAAAACCACCATCTAGCCACCCTGGTCCCCTCGTGCCTCCCTAAATGTAGTAAAATCTTACTTGTATTCAAGTCTGCACCTGCTTACTTTGTCCCTGTTTCCTTTTGACCTGCCTGCTGACATCAGCAGAAGTGGTAGCCTGATCCAATCACAATGCTTCACCATAGGATTGGCTGAGACTGACAAAGAGGCAGATCAGGGGCAGAGGCAGCATGATTCAAACACAGCCCCACAGGCCAATCAGCATCTCCTCATAGAGCGTAATTGAATCAATGAATCTCTATGAGGAAAGTTCAGTGTCTGCATGCAGAGGGAGGAGACACTGAATGCTTTGATACATTTTAGGCAGCAAAGACCCAGGAAGGATCTCTAACAGACATCTTAGGAGTAGCAAGTGAAGTTATCACTAGGCTGTAATGTAAACACTGCATTTTCTCTGAAAAGACAGTGTTTACAGTAAAAAGCCAGAAGGTAATGATTCTACTCACCAGAAAAATTGTAGTAGTTCTGGTAACTATATAGTGTCCCTTTAACTCTACCCCACCATGATATTTCAAGTGTACTCCATTGTTTTAGAAGGTGAGTAATTTCCCTTATTAATGGAATTAAAATGGCCTTCATTATGTTACAGGGATCGTATACAATATTTATGCCCAGATAATTAAAACCCTTCTTTTCCCATTTAAAGACGTAGTGTTTATTTAGAAAAAGATAATCTTTTTCTTCTATATACATGGGTAATACAACCATTTTTTTTGGACATTGAGTTTATAATTTGTAAGAAGGCTGTATTGCTCTATTATATTCATTACTTATGGTACTGAAGAGATAGGGTTCACAAGAGTTAATAAAGTGTTGGCCGCATATTGATTAATTTTAGATTCTTTATCATTTATTTGAAAGCCCCTTATTTTTGAATTTGAACGAATTTCATGTGCTAGTGGTTTGGCCACTAGGATATAGAGTGGAGAAAGTGGAAAGCTTTGGCAAGTACCATTTGAGATATCAAACCATTCAGACCTATTCAGACCTAATTCCCCCTCCCACTATCCTGCTAGATGGGGATGAATAAAGGGCCATAATTGCTGAAAGAATCTGTCCTGAAAAACCAAAAAACTCTAAATTTGTTTTCATAAAGTCCCAGCTAACTTGGTCAAAAGCTTTCTCCCAATCGAGAGCCATAGTGAGAAAGGGAATTTTTGTAGCATGGACTTTTGCATATATATTAAACGGTTTTCTAATCTGGTTGGACGACGTTCCACATCCTACCCTTCACCCCTTTTTTTTTTTCTTTGCGTACAAATCCAACAGGTATTGTCATGGGAAAATACTCCTTTAAAAAAAAGAGGCTGACTACAGACCTCTCTGCACCTCACTCCTCCACTATCCCTAGTTTAAATTCTTTAATTCCATCCGAAGAATTCTCTCTACAATACACCACGATAGATAATGCGGTTCAAGCCATCATGTCAGCCGGGGTTGGGGCATGGTTGAACAAGACA